ATTTACACTGAGTACTTTGGCCTGAAAATGCCTGTTTCTGTCCGTCAGATGATTGGATTTGGCAACTAAGGATTTCATTTAAAAATGTTCATCTATTTACTTACGCAACATCATGAATGAGCAGGAAAGCCAGTATGACAATGCAGACTTAAAAAACTGTAGAACAGCTCTAAGTCTCCTGTGATTTTGACATCATGTTATCTTGCCCAGCCAGCAATTATACGTAGGAAAAAGACAGGGAGAAAGAAGCTGAACAGAGCTGAACAGTGGGAAGAGCTCACATAGTGCTGTCTTATGCAATAAACCCAGTGGTGTTAAAAGAACGTTTTCCCAAGTTGTGACTTCGAACAACCTCCACTCTTGGGAATAGCGAAAGAACAGAAAAAAGTTCTGTTCACCTGCATCTGGCCAAGAAAAAGAGGACAAAAGATTCCAGCTGCAGGAAAACAAGTTTGTGGCCTGTGATCATTACCATAGTCCTCCTTCACAAGCCAAGCCAAAAGGATACTGACTAAACACAAAAGCCCAGTAGCCTGTCTGTCAGGCCGTTGTGCAGCCACAGCTCCATATCCTGCTCCCTGTGATGCTCCCCATGGGCAGGGACATCTCTCCCGGGCTCCACCCTCCTTGCAATGGGCTCCAGCTGCCCAAGGCCACTCTCCTCTACGGCCCTGCATCCTGTCCGAAGGTGATTTTCTTTCTGAACACGGAATGGCAGGAAGGCAGGGAAGTGATTCATTAGGGTGACATATGGGGATTTTTATGGGAGCAGATCCTAGATCTAGGGTACAGGTACACAGTCAAGTTGCAAGTCAACAGGGTAAGCCAACGTGTGAATCTGATAAGTCAGCTACTCTGTAATAGCTGACCCTATGCATATTCCTGTCTTCCCACACAGAATATAAGGCTATATGTTATTGCTGTACGTTCAGGACAGATGCAAAGATCAGTGTGATGGCAGTTAATACAGAAAAACAGACAGAGTGCTGCAAACCCGTTCTCAAGCAACTTAGATTTTCATGACTATTCATGAATAGACATTTCAGTTCAATTCCTTTACTTTCATTTACACAAAGGTTTTATTAGATGAACACCTCAAAAAAGTATTTTGAGTCCATTAATTTATTTCCTGTGAATGTGTGTTTGTTTTATTAAGCAGAGACTTTGATTTTTTCAGGTGTCACAATGTTAAAAAGTAAACGAGAAAAGGAGTGAGTCATGACATCCCGGAAGAGAACATGTGTAGTTTTTAAAATACAAGGGAGAATGATGGTTTCCAGCCACCACATTTTTAGAAAACATCCTAAACAAACTGCAAAAGGAAAACATTAATTTAAAAATCTCAGGTTGTCCAGCAACTTGTTGAAATAACACAGGAAAGTTGGGGAAAACTTTAGGATAAGTGCAAGAGACACATAAACAACCTTTTAAGATCACATCTGGAGATAAAGCCGAGTAACTATAATAAGAGTTGACATATTGGAGGGTTAAAGGGGCATTAAACCCCGTGGGCTCCATTTCTTCAGTCCTTGGAAGCAATGAGGTTTGATTGGAAAAGTCACATTGCTTTTGTTTATTCTGTTCCTGCTAATTTTTTTTTCCTTTGATTTACATTTTTGACATTAAAATGCATTACATATTTCTCATTGCTGCTGTCAAGTCAGATTTTCAATCTGACCTGTATGTTCTGCCTACATTAAATAATCTGTATCGATTCACAAATAAGGGCTGTTTCTTCAGCAAGAAATAATAACTGTCAAACTCATAACTCAGCTTTTGTTTTTCCCTTTTAAAGGCAAAGCATATACTTGGAGACAGCACAATAGATTCAGGCAGAAAATGACTATAAACGATTTCATCAGCATCACATACAATAATGTGCAGCACACGAGCAAGCACTGCAACATTAGCTGCAACTGAACAGTGAAACCATCCACAGGTTTCTCACTGCAGCATGATTGGTTTTAAGTAAGTGCTATAGTTACTTAACTCTGAAGAAGTCCAGATTTACATATACATTTTTGTAAGTGAAGGCAACAGCTATGAAAGAACTGCTTTACCAAATGCTGAGTAACAGTCAGCTTTGGGCTGCGATTTAATTGAAACAATTTTGTGGAGGAAGCAGAGGAAAAAAAACAGAAAAAGCACAGTGTCATGTAGAGAGGCACAAGGCAAGCTGCAGCAGAGCTGAGGCTGGGCCACTGCTGCTTCCGCAGCTTCAGGCAATGGGCAGAAGCTGTGCTCAGTACTTCTCTCCCCACCTCTGTCCCTTCCAGAGTGTCCTGCTTACCAAGCTGAGGTCACATATCTCTGCGAATCTTAACCTCAAATACTGAATCAATACTGATGACACTCTACCAAGCTGCTTTGTTGTAGAGTTATCTTAAAACAAGACACCAGAGAAATCCTCCAGCCCTCCAGACTCACCTGGATGAAGAGCAGAAGGCAATGCAAGTCCCACCTGAAAGCTTCACATGAACACTTATACATTCTATATATACACACATATGTATATACCTATATATAATCTGCATTATCACCCAGTTATCAGAAAGCTATTTTACACATCACAAAAAGCAGTGTAATGACTGAATTTGCAGTTTAAATAATTTCATTACAGGAAATAGATCCCAAAGGTCATTGGGATCCTGAAACCAAAACAGAGTAGGTGATGTGTTTCTATTTAAGCCCCAGCCTTATAAAGCATGTCTATGTATTTCAGAAGTCTAATTCTGTAACAACACGTAGAGGCAGATGTGCAGCCTTTACAAGTGTCTCCTCAGCAGTGCCCTGCCATGAGCTTCTTATCCAAACTGCCAAAAGCTGTCACACCGCTGTCAACAAGATCATGAATCTCTGATCCCGTTCTGCCTGTTCCCCAGATTATGTGAGGGTAAGAAAATATCTATCACATAGCTTATATTCTTCACACCCTCCACAGCCTCTCACCTTCATTTTCCTGCCTACCAGCACTCCCTGTGCCTTCCCCTTCTAATTCCTCACTAAAATTCACATTTTCCAGAAGCCTTCCCACTTTACCCTTACCAGTATTCCTCAGCATCCTTTTCTCTTTTGCTTTCCAAGTGACTTTGCTCATGTGAATCCCCCCTTCCCACCTTTCCCACTCACTCCATCACAACACTACCCCTAACAGCACAGCAGACCCTGCAAGCCCTGCAGTGACTACTAGTAGATGGCAAACCACTCAGACTTCAGAAACTTACTGCTGTATCCAATTTAATTTTCACAGCCCGGCTCTAAGCTCTTGGGCACCCCCTAACACAGATCTTCTATTTGCACAGCTGTTTAACTCTTAAAAAAAAAAAAAAAAAAAAAAAAAAGGCAGCAGTGAATTGTACTACCGGTAGCACTACTTAATAATGTGAACATGCAATCCAGCTGTTAAGAGGGAGGTGATACGCCGTTTTATTACACGGTTTTCAGAGCTAACCAAAATCAGTTCCACTAGGGATAAATGAAATGGAGCGGAAGGATGCATTCCATGGCTCTTTGCTTTCCAGTAAATTCTGATTAACTAAGAGAGCCCAGAAAACTTAATTAATGCTAGATTAGAAAACAAATTGGCATATTTGAGAGGAAAACACTGAGAACCCGGCTTCTGGTTTTGCTTGAAATCCGTATTCCTTTTGGTTTAAAACAGCCCTCCCCCCAGATCCTTACAGGAAACACTTTGCTGCTCCAGGCTTGCACTGTAATTAGTTGTTTCCACTCAATACATCATGATTCCACAGGGCATCTTTTCAATGCAGAAATGACTCCCATCCCCATCTTCAAGCAGCCTAAGAAAGGAACCCACTAATGCAGCAGATGGGTGAACAAAAGTACTGCTAACACACAACCGGATGAACAAGCAGAAGGGAAAGCACCCGCAACTCCCCTCAGCACGGGCAGCTCTGCTTTTAAACCAGGAATTTGCCTCACAGCTCTTTTGGCCTCACGTTGGAAACGGTAAAGGGAAGCGGGAGGAATAGCAGCAGGTCGGTACGGCAGGAGCGGGACGTCCTGCACCTAAGGGTGAAAGCTGGGGAGGGACTCTTTATCAGGGGATGCGATGACAAGACAAGGAGGAACAGCTTTTACCGAACGGAGGGGAGATTTCGGATAGACATTAGGGGGAAGATTTTCACTGAGACAGCGGTGAGGCAGTGCCACAGCTGCCCGGAGGCACTCACGGCCAGGCAGGACAGAGCCCCAGGCAGCTTCATCTGGCGGGAGGCGTCCCTGCCCATGGCAGGGGCTGGGACCGGACGGGCCGCACAGTCTCTTCAGCACAAGCCGTCCGGTGACCCTCGGAGCACTTCGTAGCGCCTCCGCTCCGGCAGAGGGCCGAAGCCCGCAGGCACCCACCGGACCGGGGCTGTCCTGCCAGCAAAGCTCCCGGCCCAGCAACCGCTCCCGCGGCGGTGGCACCGATCGGCACCGTCGGGCAGTGACAGCCGCCGCGCCGGTCTGCTCCGCGGTGCCGGGAGCGAACCTCCGGGCGGCCCCGGGGACGCCACGCTGGGACAGGACGGGCCGGCACCGGAGCGCGGCGGTGCCCGGCGCCGCCGTCCCACCTGCCTTCCCCCCACGGCCGCTCCCCTACTTTCCCCCGGCACTCACCGGCGGAGCTCATGGCGCTCCCCGCACCGCACCGCTCCGTTCCGCTCTCCCCTGTCCGTCACGGCGCTGCCCCGCTCGGGGCCTGGCAGCAGGAGTCCATTGTCCGCCCGCGCCGCCCCCCCGGCAGCGCCCTCCGCCCGCTCCCGCATAACGCCCCGCGGCGGGCGGCACACTGAGCGCAGCCAGCGCCCGCCGCGCGCCCCGCAACCGCCTCTCCGTGCGCGGCAGCGCCCCCTGCCGGGCGCCAGCCCGCCCCGCCCCGCCCCGCCCCTCCCGGTGCCCGCCTGCCCGCCCTGCCCCCCCCGCCCCTTCCCCCCACCCGGAAGCAGGCGCGCCGTGCCCGCTGGGAGCTGTAGTTCCATCGGCCGCAAGGCGGGGAAGGTGCCGCCGCCGGCGGGGCGGACTCCGTTTCCCAGCGTGCCCGCAGGGGGTGGCATGGCGGCGGGAGGATGACACCGGAGTTTGACGAAGAAGTGGTGTTTGAGGTGGGCGCGGGGGAGACCCGGGGCGGGCTGGGCGCGCATCTCTCCGCCCCTTGCTGGGGCGTTGCGGGGCGGCCCCAGGTGACCGCTGGGCGCGGAGCGCTACCGGGGGCCGCAGAGAGGAGCGCCGCCCCGGGAGGCCCGAGGGCCGCGGCAGCGGCGGTGGTGGGGCCGGGCGGGGAGAGAGCGCGGAGCCGGAGCGACGGGAAGGGGATGGAATGGAGGTGTGCGGACAGCGCGCCGTTCTGCGAGGCGAGATGGGGCAGGGACAAAGGGTCCGGGACCTCTTTGGGCCGACGAACCGTGTGTGGAAAGCAGCCTGACTCGCGGGAGAAGTGCGTGCACGCACACCCGTATCCAAGTGCTGCCCCGTCTTTCTAACGGCTGTGTTGCTTCCAGTCTGCGTAAAGCATTGTGTTGCATCACACATCGCGTTCTTAGTCATCTCTACAATACCGTGTAGACCTTATTTAAATCAATGGGTAAATACATTGGTTATCATTGGGTGACCAAATGGGATCGATTTGCAGTAGATCACTGTAACTACATCTCCGTGCTGGCCACAACTATTCTTTAGACATCTAGAAGATGCGGTTATACAGAAATACTGTCTTTAAAGGAATTAATTATATTAAGAAAGCCTCTGCTTTTACCAGGATGACAAAAGCTCCTTACATGAGGAATACTTTTTTTTTTTTTTTTTTTTTTTTTTTTTTTTTTTTTCCAGCTGTGTAGGTACTGCCTGCTCATGGCTTTGGTCTGTAGCACAAAGTTGTTATCCACAATCAGGCTTAAGTGCAGTCAGTAGTGCCTGACCCTTCTGCTGCTGTGGTATTAAATCACTTCCTTGAATGGTGTAAAGCTTTGTTGAGAATTTATTACACAGGTGCAGTGCCTGCCTTCTGCACTCACTGCTTTAGTAGAAGTGATGCTTGACTTATAGTTTCACAGTTCAGGCAGCACTTAGAGTTTTGATTAAAACGGGGAAGTTCTGCTACATAGGGAGTAAAAGATATCCTGGCATGTGCATTTGCACTTGACTGTTTTCTGTGTTTGTTGGTAGTGCATTTCTTTCTCTGTTAGAGTCCCTTGGTGCACTGCTGTGTTAAGTGTGTGTGTATGCAGAATTTACTATGTCACTTGTTACACTTTTGTTTAATAGTGTCCAGCTTATCTCTTCCCAAGTCAGCAGTTACTTTTGCAAGGAGACCTTCAGGATGTCGACCTAGGTTACTGTGAGCTTCTGACACTCCTGTGAGCAAAACATTGGACAATGTTATAAGCAATGGTGGCAGATTTAGCCATATACATCGCATCAGCTCTTTGTTTACAAAGCTGGTCATATTCTCTTACTCCTCCTGACTTGCACATACCTTCAAACCATAGAAAGGCATTTTGTGATAGATTTCCTGTTCTAAGCAGCTGAACTCTTCTTATACACACTGGAACAGTTTGCCCAAGGAGGTTGTGGATGCCCCAGGCTTGGAGGCATTCAAGGCCAGGCTGGATCACAGCCTGGTCTGGTGGTTGGCGACCCTGCACATAGCAGGGAGGTTGAAACTAGATGATCATTGTGGTCCTTTTCCACCCAGGCCATTCTGTGATTCTATTCATGGGAACATCTGTGGAAGTTTTGCCCATTTTCTTATTGTTTCTTGCTTGTGTTTAGTCTAATTGTTCGTTTCTTATCGTGTCTTAGAGTCTCTGGATAGTTTCCTTGGAATGCATGTGTATATCGGATGGCAACATGGGAATTAGCATAGAGAAAGAAAGAGACAAAGCAGGGAAGACATCTTTTTGTGTTCTTGACAACTCCTAGTCTGAGGCCTCTTTTGTAAGAGTAGAGAAACTCCTGACAGAGGAAGAACACTGAGAAATGCCAGGATTTTGGACAACTCTTGGGGTAGCATACGATCTCAACAGAACTGCTGTGAAGAAAATATGTGAGAGTGTGGGCTTGGAGCCTACTGCACTTCTACCTCTGTCTCATACCTTTAGTAATTTCTTTCTCCTCTTCCTTTTCTTTTCTGTCCACTGAGGTACCAGGATACAGTACAACTCAACATCTCTTCTGTTCACCCATGGTAGAAGTCGTGGTTACTGTTTCAGTGTGACTCGTGTAGGAACAGCCAGCATCTTACAGTAATTTCTGTTGTGATACTGCTCGGTAAAGTCCTCCAGTGTGAAAACAGCTCATAGAATCACAGAGTATCCTGGCTCCACACACAAACTACAGAAAGCTCAAACTCTGTGTCTGAAAGCATTGTCCAAATGCTTTAAGCCCGGCAGCATGGGCTTTGCTCGCTGCCCTGGGGAGCGTGCTCCTGTGCCCACCCACCTTCTGGTGAAGAACTCTCCCCTGATGCAGCTCCACGCTGTTTCTTGGTTCTGTTGCTGTAACCAGTGAAGAACTAATGAGAGTTACTTGTTTCTTTTGTTTCACTAGAATTACCTGGAAAAGATAGACAATTTTCCTAGGTAAAGATGAATACAATGTTACTTGAGCGTAGATCAGATGGGGAGAGGCTGAACAGCTTTGTACTCAGTGGGTTTGATGATGTGTGTTATGGGTATGAAGGTCTTGCAGGTTCCACAGGCAATGCATGGGAAAAGTGTTGTTGGTATTGTATATAGGTATGAAAATGATAACCTTCTTACTAGATACAGTGTTTTTTAAATCTTTGAAATTTATGTATCTGCATTAGTTAAATTGAAGAAGCACACAACCAGGCTGTACCACCTATTCGTGTGCTTCCCTGCACGTGTCAACTGTACAGCACTTTAGTATTCTCTTGTAATGCTCTTGACACCTGTCTGGTAATCTTTATACTTTTCCATTCCAATTACACTTACTATTTCCCTTTACACATACAATGCAAAAAGCGTCATACACCAGCAGGATAACTCAATTTGCTAGATCCCCAGTGTTCATGAGGCATTTCCAGTATGGTCTTTCAGTTGGCTGGGAGCATGCAGAAAGCTGTCCTCTTCCTGCTTAGTAGGATAGAACACTTTGCTGGGCCTGTTTAGCCTCGCATGCTGGTATTCTAAGTCAAGGTGGCTGGAAGTACCCTAGGTCCTTGAGGTTGCTGTCACCTAAAACAAGCGTACCAGCCCAGGGAAAAGGTTCTTCGTTACAGCTTTCAAAAAATTCCTGCATTCCTGAAAGTGAGTATTGATCACAATTCTTATATCAAAGAAATGTTACCATCAATGTTCTAACAAATGCATAATCGGGAAAGAAGAGCTCCTTTGCATTTTCTGTGCTCGAACAGAATGGGGAGTGCATCACCTGTTTCACATCACAGTTATGTCCAGTGTTATTTACTACACATTTTTCAAGTCATAGCTCTGTCCATTGGGCTTAAATATATCAATGACCACTGCCTGCATTATAAATTTTGCCACATCAAACAGATGATGGTTCACTTAAAGGTATTTATCAGACCACTGATCCTTATCGAATAGCTCTGACGGAAGACAAGCACAAGGAAGGTATCACAAGAGCCATCCCTGTGATTGAATAACAATGAGTAATGGTCACTTTACTGGTCAGAAATGTTGCCATCCTCTATCCAGTTTATAAGTGAATTCCTACAGCACCCAGAAATTCTCATTTACTGCCTGCATAGTCTTCTTCTGCCCAAATTTTTACTTTTGTTCCACTTCAGTTCTTACTTCTTAACTTCAGTCCTTGCACCTGTTCTGCTTTACAGTCAGTTGCTCTTTTAATGGAAATGCTAGAAATATTAGGGGAGAGGAGGCAGAACTCAAGAGACACAGAGGTGCCCCTGATGCTTGGCATGAATTTGCCTGCCAGCAGTGTGGCAAATCAAAAATTGCTTTAATGTAGAGCAAATTATGGAAAAAAAAAAAGTTTAATTCATGTCTGTTATTTTATTAAAGATGTTAAGGTAGAGTAGAGGAAACTTGATAAGTTACTTGAGATGAGGTTTTTCCCAACCCAAAGAGAGGTTTGTTTCTTTGGACAATATTTGTTTCTTGATTTCTTTTAATTTTTGAATATATAAATGTAAAATGTTTATTAAAACTATCTAAATTTATGCATCATTATTCCAATGGGAGGAATGCGTCAGAACTTCATTGTTTTGATAGTAACTGCCATCTACTTTCTGACTCAAAATTCATTCATGGCTTCTTTATAGTTGCACTTTTGCTAATATTGTCCATTAACATATTCCATTCTTTTACATCTCCTGAATTTATCTCTTGACGTATTCAAAGAAAGCAGTCCTATTTTGGCTAGGGCTATTTTGCTTAACTGACTAATCCAAGATATTTAGTCTCCTTTTACAGAATGTGTTTATTGTTATTCACTGCTTCAAGCTTGAGTTCATCTTTCTTTACATGAGCCTGCAGTGTGATATTCAGTGTTCTTGCTGGGGCCTTGTAGAACTGTAGGCACTTGTTTCTGCTGGGACTGCTTTGATTCTTGCATCGTAGGCCTACAGGCAACTTTCTCAAGTGTTCATACTGTTGATTCAGTTATAATGCTACTCATGTTTGTGCTCTAATCATCATTACTGGAGGAATTGTTTGTATTAGTCACTGTATGTAACATCTTAATGTTGTCTACTGTTAATTTGCATGCCATTATCACTCAAAGTACCCACCTGAGATATCCAGGTCTTTATGTATGATATTTCTACACGTGATGTTACTTGGTGTTACCAGGACATTTCGTTAGCATTCTCTTGGTATGAAGATGAAGCTTTGATCAAAGTCTGATTCTGGAGGAGCTCCATTTGTAACTGTCTGACCTGATGGTTTTCTATTCCACACAACCCACTGTTATCTTTGTCATTTATGTATTTAGTTCATTTTGTATCTTAACTGATATGGCATGGTACTGAAAGCCCATACCCCACAAAGCATAGTCTCAAAAGTCCATATAGGCTTTCTCAATTTCCATTATTTAGAAAACGAGCTGTCTCATCAAAGGATTTGATGCCATCTACCTCTGGTAAACTCATGTGGTATCT